TTGTATCCCAAAGATAAAATACAAGTTCTATCTTCCCAGGAGCATTAAACCACAAGTTGTGGTTTTAAGACCATTTGAACAAGCAATTAAAACTGTCCTGTAGCAGTAACCTGTCATCTACATTTTCACCAATCTCTGTGAAATTTTGTTGCAACAAACATATGTCATTTACATTGGGTATCTTTGTTTTTTTCCAGGATTAGTAATACTTAAATTTGACCCATGTCTCTTGTGCTACCTATAGCAAAGTTTCTATTCCCACAGCGTCACAGGGATTGTCTAGTTCTTCCTGCTTTTATTTCAAATGCAGCACACAGAAAAACAGTAACTATTTCTGCCTTTATAATGTTATCACTGCACTTGTTTTAAGTCTGCACTTCATTGACTTACTTGATACAATACACTGTATCAAGTACCTATATACTTAAATGTACAAATTTTCATTTCTTGGTGTTGCTTTTCTACACATACCGATTTTTTGCTTAAGTATTAATTGTTTAGGTGGGTTTCAGTTGTACTTCTGATTATTAGAACTTTGTATTTCATGCAGCTTCAAATGTAATTCTTTGCACAATGATATATGGTTTAATGTCTGTCTGATTAGAAAATCTAATTAGTTTGCCATTCTGTATCTAGTTCTAATTTTTAGGCACTAAAAACCGAACTGGAACACTCTGCTCAATTCTTGAAGTCTGGAGAATAAACATCTGTGTAATTCTTCTGGGATACATGTGTGTAGATCCCTAGTAGATGATGTAGACTCGAGCACTGTCAGCAAAGATAAAATCTCTGAATGATACAGCTGCCAAAATTAAATATACCTCTAAGCATGGAGGAACCTTTTGGTTTTTCTCTCCCTGTTTTGGAAATAAGGAGGGGATTGCCCCCTTTTGAGACCCATAAATTAACTATTGGAAGCTTTCTCATAGAAAAAGCAATAGATATACCTTGTACTGGGAAACTCTTCCTGAGATTTAAAGACCCCTATGCAAGGTATGATAACACCCTCAAATTTCAAGACACCCGTTCAAGCTATGATAGCACTTAAATGTCTTCAAAACAGTTCTGATTATTTTATTTTTTTTTAAATATGGACAAACCCATTTTTCTTTAACTACATTTTGGGGATGGCTCATTAAATGGAAGGATATACCTCTCGAAAGTGAGAGAAAGTATTTTCTGACAGAAATACTGTCCTGGAAACATATCCATGAAACCTACTTCCTAAGCAATAACATTAATACTGAGAATGCCTTTAAGTTTGATTAGACTGGTCACTGTAAGCAAATTCAATTCCAAATAATAATGAGAATTTCCAAGTTTTTAACTGAAACTGTTTATAATGTGTAGCTAAAGCAGGTCATTTGCACAATCAAATCACAAGCAACAGGTTAAAAAAAAAAAAGTATTGCTGGCTCTGACTCTCAGAGAGAATTTCTGCTAAATCTGTGACCTTTGAAGTCCTCAATTACTTACTAGAACCTGAATTTTCACCTCTGAATTTCTTTAGTGAGCTTACTTAAGAACTTATAGCAATCCCTCAGCTAAAGGTCACAGTGCTGTGTGGTGTTATCTGGGGTTTTATTATTTCCTCGTAAACTATGACATTTATAAAATGTCAGCATCTGAGGAAATCAGGCCTACATGAACATGGAGGAAGAATAAAACCTGTTTACTTTGGCAATTCTATCAGTGGTGGTTCAGAGTTATAAATGTAATCACAACAAATAATACAGTGTTCTCTATTGTTTACAGGTATTAGTAATTGTTATCCTGGGTAGACATGCATGTTAGTACACTTAGGAATAAAAATTACGGTACATCATACTTTGTTTAGAGTGATTGTGCTGTGCTCAGTGACCACAGAGAGCCCTTTCTTGTCAGAACCAACAATAAATTTGGTTCCTTAATTTTCCTTTTCCTAATCCTAACCTGAGGTGATTCACACTCAGGTAACTCATTTTGGTGCCAGAGTTGAGAGAAAAGATGATCTTTCCCAAACTCAGATAATCCGCAGATTGCTGGGGAGAAAAAGAAGGATAGTCGTAATGGTGGTAAGATGACAGAAGGTAGTATGCCAGATAATACAACAGGGACAGCAGAGGAGCAAGAGTAAGAAATATCCCTGGCTGAGGCAAGCTGCTTTCTCTTACTTCCTTCTGTCATCTATTTCTCTTGCTGCAGTCTCACCCTGCTGCCCTTTCAGGTTTGGTTGCCCATTGACTCTTCATCCGAAATGGCAATTTATGTTTCTGTGAAGTGCAAGAAAATGTTAGTGTTTTCTAAACTCTATGCACAGGCATTAAGTGGTGACACACTGTGATACCAATGAGACACTGGGCACTTGAGACCAAATCCACCTGTACAAAGCAATGGAAATCCTATCTTTAATTTTATTTACTTGTTTGTTTGTTTTCATTTATATCAAGATTGGGATCAGTTTAGATGGCTAATCTGTAACTGTTTTTCCAACTTTGTCTCAGTAAATTTACACTGATCCTTGATTCTGAGTCCTCTGGCCCCTGATAAATACCTACTGAAATCAAAGGGATACAGCAGGGGCAAAGAACATCTCTGTTTTTCCTTTTAATTTTTAAAGTTAGTGTTTAGTTGCTGCAATGAGTCGCTTTGGGAAAGGAACAGGAGTTGTCATATCCATAGTCTTTATTTCTAGATACATGCATTGACTGTATACCTGGGACAAGGCAGGCAGGTAAAAAGTTTTGGTTAGGAGCCAGGCAGAAACCTGAGCTCAGCTAAGGGGAAACCCTTGACAAGTAGGGCTTACTGTTTTCTTGTTTTTCTACAGGAGTTACAAATGAAATCCTGCAGCCCCACTGCGAGAGCAGGTACGTACCTTCCCTCAGGTGTGTTTCAATTCAGGCAGGAGGAGAGGCAATTCATAGGCATTTGCTTGAAATTCTGGAAAGAGTTTTATAATCTGACTGAGAATAAAAAGATTTCTAATGGCCTTTACCAGAGACAGAAACAGGTTAGAAATTAGGAGATAGAATGAAAAATGTAGAAAGGGGGCAAAAATGCAGCTGATAGTGGGGATGGAGAAGTAAATTGAAAAAATAGAGAAGTGAAAATAGGAGGTTACAGGTATGTTGCAGGGCACGTGTGACAACTATCTGACAGATTCAGCTGGTAGAGGTGGTAGTCAAAAAGAGCAAGATTAGGCTTGCTAGAGCGTCAGGAGTCCAGTTGGCATGGAGGCTGCTGGTGAACAGGGGAATAGATCTTCATCATGACAGTGGTCCAGTTCTCACAAAAGTAGAGACAATTAATCAAGGGATTAATGTCATATTTACTGAAAAAGCCTAGGAGATGTGGTACATTTTCAAACAAGACTTCTGTTTAATCCACAATATACTTTTTGTCACCTAAAATCAAATTGAGTAACCTCACAATAGTAACTAGAAACAATTCAAACCATAGACTTGTCCTCCTGTAAGGTTTTTGCTGACTAGTTTGTTACTCAAATTCCAAAGAATTTTTATGATTATATACATTTATTATTATACACAAAATATATGTACAGGTTTCTTCTCCTCCCCAGTTAATCATATTGAGATAATTTTCTGGTTAAAAAACACAAAACATAAAAAAACCCCAGAAAACCCATCTCACAGTGTATATTTATAGTTAAAACTAAACCAATGCTTTATATAGAGCAACATAACTAATACTTAAGTTATATTAATGCAAATTAAGACCTCTGGACATTCTTGTCTGTTTAGTTCTGAGTACCTCTGTGTTATTTGTAATTAAAATGTTACTTGATATTAAATAAAAGATAAAAAATATATTTTAGCATTTTAAAGCATTTATGAATTTATACCTAACGGCTGATCATTAAGACTTTCTGTTAAAGTATAGATAATAAGCATAAGGGCCACAAAGATGATCCGAGGGCTGGAGCACCTCTCCTATGAAGACAGGCTGAGAGAGTTGGGGCTGTTCAGCCTGGAGAAGAGAAGACTCCGGGGTCATCTTTTAGCAGCTTTCCAGTACCTAAAGGGGGCCTGCAGGAAAGCTGGAGAGGGACTTTTTACAAGGGCATGTAGCGATAGGACAAGGGGCAATGGATTTAAACTGAATGAGGGGAGATTTCGATTAGATCTAAGGAAGAAATTTTTCACTCTGGGGATGGTGAGGCACTGGAACAGGTTGCCCAGAGAAGTTGTGGATGCCCCATCCCTGGAAGTGTTGGATGAGGCTTTGGACAACCTGGTGTAGTGGAGGATTTCTCTGCCCATGGCAGGGGGGTTGGAACTAGATGATCTTTAAGGTCCCTTCCAACCCTAACCATTCTATGATTCTATAATTAGTAAGCATTATTTTTGTGATCACAATGGAAAGGGATGGTAACCATAACAAGAGAAAGGAGCATGAGTAAGTAATCAGTGAAGACAGTGCTGGGAAAGGATGAGATCCATTTCAAACAACATCATAAATAAGAGATTTGTCTACATTTGAACTTGTTCTCTTGACTCCTTTTATTGTCAATGGAGAGAAACACAGTGACAATGATTTACCCTTTTCCTAAAATCGATATCTAAACTACGATGATATTTTTCTTTTTAATTTTTTTTTCCTTTTCTTAATAACTAGCTCCAATTGTTAACTTGTATTGAGGAGCAGATCCAGGTGTGTGGTTACTATAAAGACATATTAAATGGAATAAAATAGATTCTGCTGCCGGTGAAAGGCAGCTAAATATCCTTCAGGAAACAATAGCTTCATTTTCTTCACACATTGCTAATTCAATAGATTTGTGGCTGCAATTTGGTTCCACTTAAATTGCATTTTATGGCTTTTGTCACTTTGGACTTTTATTTTAAGAAGTGCAATTCTGATCTCATTGTTATCAGTGTAAAATCTATTACAGTTAATGAGTTTCACAAGTAAGGAAACGGTATATGAGCAGTCAGTATTGGCTCTTAAGAATTGGGTCGAATATCTAGCCACACTATCTCTGCGACAGTGTCATTGTAATGACGTACCGAGAAAAGTATGGATTTCACTTTGATACTGATAAGGATGGTGCAGTTGTGCACCTTTCCCTAAATATGTATTTTTTGCTGTTTGAATGTGGTGGACGTACTGGTATGTTTGAACAGTTTTCCATGGTTACTGCTAAACACGAGTTCTTTGATTTGTTACATCATCATCCCCCTTGGTGGGATGGGGAGGAGAAAATATAACAAAAGGCCTGAGGGTCAAGAGCAGGGAGGGATCTCCCACCAACCACGGCCGTGGGCAAAACAGACTTGGCTTGGAGACAAATCAGTTTAATTTGTTAGGAATCACAATCAGAGAGGATAATGACAAAACAAGGCAGATCTTAAAAATAGCTTCCTCCCACCCCTCCTTTCTTCCTGGCTCTACCTCCTCCCTACAGCAGTGCAGGAGGATAGGGAATGGGGGTTGTGGTCAGTTCATCACATGCTGTTTCTGCTGCTCCTTCCTCCTTAGAGGGAGGACTCCTCACATTCTTCCCCTGCTCCAACATGGGGTCACTTCCTATGGGAGATGGTTATCCACAAACTTCTCCAACATGAGTCCTTCCCACAGAATCCAGTACTTGTCCAGTGTTCCTTCCACCACCTGTGCAGAAGGCTGGGGAGGCCAGCCCCCTGCTTTATCCGTCTCCTCGCTGCAGGTCCCACGTGGCACAGGTTTCTTTGTCCCCTTCTTAAATCTGTTACTCACAGAGGTGCTGGTTGGTTTGGCCCTGGCAAGAAGCGGGTCTGACCAGGCCAGACACAGGTCTGTCTTGGAGCCAGAGAAGCTTCTTGCAGCTCCTTACAGAGGCTATCCCTGTAGCCTCTCCCTCATTTCTGAAACCCCACCACAGAAACCCAGCAGAAGGTCCCGGAAAGAGTAACTCCACTTTTGGAAGCAGCACTGATTTTCAGCCATATCCTTACATTAGTAGATGTATATAGGTGAGGAAATAACTCATTGTTTTCGGTACAATAGCAAGGTTTAGAAACATTTTTCTTAACAGAAAAAGTGATCATTAAACGTGATGGAAACATTTCAATATTTATTATTAGTATCTATGAACACTCAGCCTTTTTGATTAGAAATCAGGTCACATTATTCTTGAACTTTTAGTTTACAGATCCTCTTTACATAGGTTATACGTGGCTTTGGACCCTATAGGATAAAGAGTTGATTTTGTGTTGTGTAATTGATAATATACATCATACAGTGCTGTTTCTGCCCTCTGCTTTAGAATTTTTGAACCTGGAAAATAATACAATATTCAGCAAGTCATGATACTCTGAAGAAAAAAAGTGAAAGACATGCTTTATGTCCTGGATATGTCAGGAATCTGGACCTTTTCCTGAATACAAAGATATCATTTATATCACCAGATTTAAAGATTCCTGACTCATCCCTCATTGGCTCACTGAGTCAGCCCTTGTCAAATGTCCTTGAAATGGTTCTGCTAATTTCCTTGGCACAATGGTATTAGCATGAGTTTTAAACAGCCCACTGAAAATCGAAGAGTTTGCCTGGAAAAGCAGATGGTTGGGATTTCATATTTTTCCTCCTTTCCGAAGTAGCACATTGTTCTGCTGTTTTCATGCTGTTATTCTCATGGCCTTGCACCTGAAAATTCCAATACTGTTATGGTAGTTCTCATGGGAAGTGATTGCTGCTGACTTAAGACTCATCCCTCCTTACTCTTTTTCCTTATCTTTCGGTTGTAGCATTTTGTTCTATACTACAGGACTCAATGATACGTGTGCACAAAGTTAAACAACCAGTGCGCAGCAACTGCCCCTTACAAAAGCATCCTCCAATCTGTGCTAATAACATTATAAGCAGGAACTACTCATAGGGAGTTTTGAGTCAATCCTGATGAAAACTGTATAGCTACTGTAGGAGAAATATTATGGGGGAACCACCTGGTGCACTGGGGACGATGCCCAGAGAGGACACACACCTGAGAACGCCATCACTTGTTCATATTCATCTTGACCCTCTGAATTCCTGTTTCTCTTGAGGATCTGGGGGAAAGAATCCGAATCAAATCATCTTGTCTCAGAATCTTCCATCGCTATTCTATTTAAATGAAGTGCGAATTTTGACTGTATCAATTTTGGTAGCTGCAAAAGCTATGCAGACAGGTATTATTAATTCAAAATATTTGATAAATATTTTTGTCAAATAGTATGGCTTTTCTATAAGAGAAGATTTTTTACGAACAACTGATGAACAAAAGGAAGGAAAATAATTTTGTTTGCTATAAACCGTAACAAAGCAAGAAGAAACGTACATTGTCACAGCATATGTAAATCTTTAGCTAAGGCTCCTCAGAATTGGGATTTTGAATTGCTGAAATGTTGAACCGGAATTCAAAAATGTCATTAAATGCTTGAGATGTTCTTGAGTTGCTTTTCATACAAACATATTTGTTAGCATGGTGTGCATGTGATTTAAGTTCCCAGCATTCGAATGGCAGTGCTATTTTTACCTTCAATAATCAAAGTTATTTAAATAAATTGCAGGTCATTATGAAGTCCACTAGAAATAAAGCGTTAGAAAAAAATAACCTTTGTGGCTTTAAAAAGAAAGAAATCAATTAATATCAGTTCTGTGCCTCCAGCTGTACAGTTCCTTCATTATGTTGGAAAGAAGTTGGTATACCTGCCATCTGTCAGCACCTTTTCATGTGTCCCATTTTTGCTCATGCTGCTTCGTCTATGAGCTGAATGCTCATAAACACATTCTTCTAGTGTTACATGACTGTATCCTGCTGCAACAGCAGGAGCTTTTTGAAATCTGTTTGTCCAGCTTCTTTAAAAGTGCAAATAATTTTTAGCAGCTCTCACACTTTGTCAGGTTTCACTGAAATAATTCACTCTTTCTTTATTCACCTCAAAGCTACTGAAATCTGATAAAATAGATAAAATCATCCCAGATAAACACAATGTCATAGAGAGACCTAGAAACGACAACAAAATTAGATATAGGTAGTAAGATTGAACAGTTCTGGAATATAAGCTATTTTATGGGCAGAGACATTTTCTCAAGGCAAGGAGCATGCCCTATAGAGCATGAAGAATATGAAAGTCAGAAGTCATTAAGTCTTCAGAAAACTGAAGACTTGATGCAGGGTCCTTTGTGTGACTTAGATCAATTACTGTCAGAATATGAGGCACAAATTCATATACTTGTATAAAGATCTCAGAAATTAATGGGAATCCTGAATCTTTTGGTTGAAGCAAATAAATTGACCTGAGGGGGGAAAGAAAAAAATTCTTTTTTAAAAAAGGTCTACTTAGTGTTTTGTATACTTGTTGTAAGCTTTTCGAGTTTTTTAAGAGATCCTAAATAACCTATTTGTAAATGGCTATATTCTAGAAATCACAGTAAAGTAGGGCAGAAAGAGACTTTCAGAGATCATCTGGGGAATTCCCACCCTCTAAATCAGGCTAACACTCCTGGCTGAAGTTTGTCTCATTTGGTCTTATAGTTCTTCAGTGATGGAAGCTTCAAAAGCTTCCTGTGTAAATCTAGTTTAATGCTTCATGTGTTCATTTCTCCCTTTTGTTGTACTCTGATAGAACTGTACGAGAATAACCTAAGATACGTTCTTGTTCTTGTGGTTTTTGTTTTCTTATTAGTTTTTTTGCTGGTTCCCACAGCGCATAATTAAGTGCCCATAGATTTATCATGAGAGAAAAAAATCAAATACCGCCTGACTGAATCCAAAAAGAGGATGCAATGTTTTCTGAATTGATTCCCACAGTTCTGTTCTGAACCTTTTGCACAGTCCTGGACTTCCTCTCCACCCTCCCCAAGAATATCTTAGAAATATTTTTTAGTTTATTTTTATTAAGCAAGGACACACCCATTCATATACTTGTTTGCCTCTTGTTTTCCAGGATGGGACTTGAATCATCCTATTGGACTTACGTCTACCAAGCACTGTTACCACGAGTTCGGAAGCGATGCAAAGGCAATCAGTTCAGGCAATCAAGGTAGTCATGGACTTGAATTCTCTTTCTCTTCCCTCTCCTACCTCATCATTCTTTGTAGCTTACTCCAAACCTGTGCTTCTGTTCTTTGGGCGTAGCCTCTGTGACCACAGGCTTGGATTTATAAAACTGTTTTCAACCTCTTTATTGACCGTTACATCAATTATTTCTTTTTGTATTAATCATATTATTATTTATATTATTATATCGAATATTTATATTATTATATAAATTATTCCAAATACGCTTTCTTCCACCCCCCCCAACTCCTCTAGTAGAAACAAATGGAGTGCTGCTTTGAGACAGAGAAATCCCTCTTGACATCATTGCTTAGCTGTAACCCCGTGCTGACCTCCTGCACACTTAAGCCTGTAAATAGCAAATAACAGCATAACACTGACCAGTGTCTCCACAGCGAGAGAAGAGTAAACAGCCGGGGGAAAAAATTCAAACCCAGTGACCTATTGTGAATTCTGTTGAAATTGTTTTACAACTTGTGCTCCTTCTGTCCTTAGATGTTCAGAGAGGGATGCCTTTGATATATAGCACTGATGAGAGGCTTATTCCATTAAACTGTAGTGATTCTAGCTTTCATGCATCATTTGACAGAGAAAATGAGAATTTGCAGAAGTAATAGCTAATGTAAAGTATATTAGGTCACAATGCAGTTAGACAGGTAGGAAATAAAGTTTATGTATTATGTTATAGAGGGGGTTTGCACATTTTATAGTGTGTGCACAAAAGACATCTTTTCAGGTTGTTTTTTCCATATAAAATTTAAAAAGGCTAGGACCACTTTTTCTGGAGCAAGCTGTATCCTCTTAACAGAGGTTAGGATTTCAATTTCAAAAAAATATTCTTACGCAAGTCATGAAGGTAAAATTGAAATTGGAAAAAGGAGAGCTGTAAGCAGAAGCATGAGGAAAATTAAATTGTATTTGACTCAATAGTTTTACTAGTTCCATATCCTACCAATATCTTCAGACATACGCACAGACACACAATCTTAATGCTGAAGTAATGCTTGTGTGGCATTTTTTTCAGGGCTATTTCGAAAGCTTGTCAAACTAGTTCTCACTCTGCTTGCTGCAGTTCACCCTGAAGAGGGATTTCTTCACCATACATTTCTACTTGTGAGAGGATGGGAGGAAAGCATTGCAAACATCAAGAAAGTGCATGCAATTGCAGTTTGATTAATGCCTTTGATATCAGAGGAAAGATTGGCAATAATTAAATATTTTGTCGCAGTGACAAAATACGTTACAGCCTATTAAAATACCAAAGCTTTTTGGACATATC